CGTCTCTTCTCGCAAATAATAAACCGAATTTGGTACGGTAAATATCTAAACATACCAAAAACGGCATATTGGTATCGTTTGGTCTCGCCATGGGTATTTTTGCTCGACTGCGTCTCGCCAAAATACAATCCATGGCTCGACCAAACTCGCCTGATATGCAACCGAAGCGTGCCAAAAAGATACGATTAGGTATAGTTATATACAAAAAGATAGCAGACAGGGTGCGTGTCCCGGTTAGGCGGATTACCCTCAGGGTAACCCGTTTGCTTTATATGCGAAACAGAATCTCGCATGTAAAGTAAACGATAATACACAATTGACTCGAGAAACGCTTCTAGAAAGGTAACCCAGCCAGATGCATGGGGAACCTCTCTCCTTGAAAATAGTCCCTAAAATCTCCCCAAACCGAAAATTGAGCTGAAAAAAAAAAACTCAAAAAGTTTGATAGCACGCCTTGTCAAAACATGGTTGTCTCGGAAACACTAAGCCAAGCGAGCAAACAATTGACACACCAACATAAATAAATGACGGCAAATTTTTCTCAACGTTTTTGGCCAAACTAGTTCTAATTTACATTGATAAAGTCACTTTACAATACATTAAGCGATAGTACTCTCGAAAATAGCTGTGAGAATAGGGCATGTTCAATTAAACTACTTGAGACTATAAAACATTTTATCATCTTTTATGATTGAGTCGCAAATATTTCGATTTCTTTTCTCACAAAGAGTCGAAATAGTCACTGCAAAACATTTTGCACACGTTAAACGAGTTTAATAAACCGGTGAGTCGGCGTTCCTAGTTAACTGATCTCCTTTTCTACAATAACAAAAACTTATCCTTACTCATTTTTTGCGCGTACTTAATTTCGCGATGATGACAGAGCCATATTTCGCGGGTATTAATTTTTTGGCGATTTTACGTAACAAATAATAGACGTAAACAAGTATTTAACGAATAACAAATAAACACCTGATAAGTACGTTATCAACGTTGGTATACTAAGTAGTCATGACTGCTTGCTTGTTTAGGAAAACTGCCCCCAAAAGGTATTTACAGAGTGCGTCTTTGCGAATGACACGCTGTCAATTGGATATTAAATTTCGCGTTTTCAATATTTGGGGCACCATTTTTTGCGAGTATTTAATTTCGCGAGTTTACTTTAATCACAAACATTAGTACTCTCGAAAATAACTGTCACAATAAATTGTGATATTTTATTCAAACTTAGTATGTACATGTTAATTATCCATTAATTATGCCTGGGGGTAGCAGAAAGTTCCCTTCAAGCAATTTTATTCAAACTTCATAACTTTTCTAAAATGATACGGGGAAGTTTCGGTGGGACAAAAATTTTAGTACGTGAAATGACGTTTCTACAGCGACAGGTCGTTTTACCTAAATTGTGTTATTATCAGCTCAAGTTTCGATCGGTTTCAGACGTGATTTGTTCTTCTTATTAAGGCTATTTTCCCAAAAATGTACAGTTTCTGCATCCTTTTTATTATTTACGTTTATGTCAGTTCTTTGCAATTTCGCGGCCAATGCACGTGCTTGTGATCGCCATGGATTTACATGGTGAGTTAATGTGAGCTGCGTGAAGTAGAATGACCATCATTGTGATGCCCCGTGTGAATTGTCTCTCAAACTCTGAACGGAATGGTGGCTAAACTGGAAATTAAAAAAGCCTGGTTTCCATATGATCGCAACAATCGTTGCGTTGCCTCTGCGATCGTTGCTCGTTGCGATCGTTCGTTGCGATCGTTCGTTGCGATCATATGGAAACCGCTTCAGTCGGTGTTTAATTATATGCGATTGTATACTGCAGTTAGTTTTACTTCACTAGTCTACAAATTACTGGGTAAGTTCCTTAACTAGAGTTAGACCCAATTTAAACATTCGAAAAGCCCCATATAGGGGATATCTGATAAGTTTTTTATATAAAAAAACGTTATTACCCAATTTTCTCTCTTAGTCTCCATGTTTAAGTGGACCATGCCAGAACAGTGGAACGTGCGTGTCACTTTACGAGAAGAACAGTTATGTGTGTCTTTGCACGAAAGGATACATGGGAAGGAACTGCGAAACAGGCAAGTACTGGTGTTCTATTTTTAATATCCCAATGGTCATTTTTCATACAAATTATCTCAAACAATTTTGCAGACGAGAAGCACGAAACCACCTTGAGATTTTCTGCGAGTTCTGTATTACAACCTAACAACTATCGGAGTCGGAAAACCGCCTGCACTGCAGGCTGAATATAGAGCTTTAGAAAACCGTAGTCTCAACGGAATTTAAACCAATATTCACAATAGTTATAACACGTCTAAACTCAGTCTTTGTGAACTGTGACTTATCCACGTTGTATTAACACAGTGTATATATCCTCTGCCTAGACGTTGTAATAGAGTCCCATGTGAACCCGAATTTAGCCTTTAACCAGGTCCGAACTCGAGTTCGAGCTTGGGCAACTGGTATACAATATATATTTTTTGATGGGGCTGATTCAGTCTAGTCTAGACTTTAAGGCAACGCATATCCGGTCAAAATTTTGCATTGCAAATTATTGCAATACTGGAAACTACTGGCAGGTTTATATTTCAGGCATGCATTTCATGAAATGAAACGTGGATGGTGGTGGATGGATGGTGGTGGAGATCGGTGGTGGAGATCGTGCGAAGGCTTTACAGAGCGCAATGGATCAAAAGCCCGAAAGTTCCCGCGTAGAAAAAAAAACGACATCTGGGTACGCGGCAGTTCCTTTTCAAATAACACTGGTGTCACTTTTTACTTTCAGAGATCACGTTCGACATTTCAGCGATAATATCAGACAATGGATTCTATCTCAGTAAACTCAGGGAGTTCCTTGCACCCGCTGTAGGATATCATTCACAGTGGCTGCTGTGTTACCGCGCCTCCACTCATGGCTGGGCTTCCACTACCTTCCACAGCAGGTGTGATGGTAAATATCACACGGTTACCATCGTTAAAAATGACCAGTATGTGTTTGGAGGATACACTGACATTCCTTGGGGTAAATATATACTGATTTTTTAGTATATTACATACGAGTTGTATGATGGCGAAGTGCCTCTCCATTTCTTCCCAACAAAATTGTGTTGTTTGTTTATATCATTCCTTTAAATGGAGTTCAAAAAACGTGATAAAGATGACAAAATCTGCTCGAAAACAAAACATATATTTTCAAGTTAAAAAAAGAAGAGTATGTATATTATTACTGATCCAAGATGGGCCGGGGATCTCTGCTCAAACTGTCAAATACTGATAAATCAAAGTTTATGTTACATATTGCTTTACAGAGATGCCATGTGTGCCATGTGTGCCATGTGTGCCGCCATGTGTGCCGCCATGTGTGCCGCCATGTGTGCCGCCATGTGTGCCGCCATGTGTGCCGCCATGTGTGCCGCCATGTGTGCCGCCATGTGTGCCGCCATGTGTGCCGCCATGTGTGCCGCCATGTGTGCCCCCATGTGTGCCGCCATGTGTGCCGCCATGTGTGCCGCCATGTGTGCCGCCATGTGTGCCGCCATGTGTAAAATAACTGAGAAACAAAAGAATATAACTAAAGATTACAGGCAAAAAAACGTTACAATTCAAATATATGAGAAACAAAAGTAAATATGATATGGCATGAAAGCTAACTCTGACAATGTTTATAGTTCTTCACGCCTGTTGATACCCTTGGGTTCAAGGGTTTGACCCCTATCGATAAGGTACGCCTCTCGAGCTTTGTGTATAGCGTCACGAGATGAATGTATGAGTTCTAATGGGATAAGTTCTATGTCGGTGAGTGAATGATTGTCGGAAATAAAGTGATCTGAAACTGCAGTAGGTCTAGAGGAAGGGGTGGGTCTGTCAACTGGTCGTCGGTGTTCGTTAAAGCGGTCTTTAAGTCGTCGTTTTGTCTCGCCTATGTATTGTTTGTTACAACGTCGGCAGTGTACCATGTAGATGAGATTTTTTGAGTTGCAGTCAATGTAATGGGTGATAGGTCTGGTCTCCCCGGTAGTGGAAAATGTGTAGTTGGTGCGCCCGTCAGTGATGTAGTTGCAAGTAACACAGTTGTTACCGCATCTGAAAGATCCCTTGGGAAGGTTGGTTTGTGTGACAGTACGTAATTTGGATCTAACTAATATGTTGTTAAGGTTGTCAGTGCGTCGAAAGGCAACAAGAGGTGTAGATTTAAAGACATTAATGCAACGTTGGGAAGAAGAGGGAATGTTGAAATGTTTATGAATGATAGATGGTATAGAGCGAAGGGCAGGGTTGTATGTGATAACAAAAGGAACACGACTGGGTGTGTCAGATGTGGTAACACTAGGTTGGAGTGCCTCAGTACGTGTGATGGTGTGCCTCAGTACGTGTGATGGTGTGCCGCCATGTGTGCCACGTGAGCCGCGTTTTTGGCGCGAAATTTAGCTTAGTTTTTCTTCGTAAATTTCCCTCGAATTACTCACTTCGTCAACATTTTCCTGTTTTAAGTTTGACTGTAATTTCGCAAAATTTTGCCTAGGAAAATTAAGCTCTAATCTGCAGAATTTTATTGCTTGACTTGAAAGTGACCATGATATTGTTGGATATCAGGTCAGTAGATAGAGCTTCTGATTGGCTAATTCCGAATTTGGGTACGGTCAATTATAATATTCCGCGGCGAACTCGCTTGGTGGCAAATGAGGAGTTTTACAAGCTAGAGATTTACACATTTCGATCTCGCAATGCTCTTCAAGTGGTATTTTTCGCTGACGAGAGGTTAGCATATGGCCATCTCCGTCGATCTACATAAAAGACGTGTTCCAACGAAGTGGAAATACTAATACTGAGAGAGCTGCAGCGACTTGATACCCAGCGACTTTACTTGGAATTGAAGTCATTGTTAGTGCCCTGTGGTCTGATTGCAGGAGTGACCCCGGTTATAGTACTTGCACTATAAATCTATCCGAACAAAATTGCAAGTTTATAAAGACCTGCTCCCAACGTGTGGCTTCATAGCGCAGTTGGTAGAGCATCGCACTAGTAACGCGGAGGTCACGGGTTCAAATCCCGTTGAAGCCTGAATTGTTTTCTGGCTTAAATTGCAATTGCTTAAATTGCATTCCTAACTGCGATGATCATTTATTCATTTCATTTCATTTCATTTCCGTAGTTCATATTATATGATTTCATTCATGTGTTCATCATCGCATTAAAGTTTCCTTTGTCCCTCAATTGCCACGAGAGACATGGGTACAAAGAAATCCAAAGCAAATATCGTATTGTATCGATTAAGCGCCCACTGTCGATTAAGCACCCCTCCTAGAATAGGCGCCCCCATAGAAACTGAAATTTTAAATACAAGCCCCCATCTCTCCTTAAATACAGTCAAAACAAATGTATGAAGGGGAGAGGGGCAGAAAGTGCCCGCGCTGATTTCAAATGGTAATCGTGTCCAGAATATGTGACTTTTCCTAAAAATTATCTGGGATCATTCTAGTCTGTAAATTGTTTGATAACGTGATTTGATGTTTCCAAGGCAAATACAATAAAGAAAGGCTGACTGTACGGTTGGGATAAATGTGAATATATTTTCCAATATTTCGTCAGGCACGGCCTGACTCCTTCGGGGAACTAACTCCAAGAAAAAAACGTTACAATTTTAAACACCAAAAGACAAAAGAATATAAGATTACAAGTAAAAAACGTTACAATTCAAATAACTGAGAAACAAAAGTAAACATGATATGGCATGAAAGCTAACTCTGACAATGTTTATAGTTCTTCACGCCTGTTGATACCCTTGGGTTCAAGGGTTTGACCCCTATCGATAAGGTACGCCTCTCGAGCTTTGCGTATAGCGTCACGAGATGAATGTATGAGTTCTAATGGGATAAGTTCTATGTCGGTGGGTGAATGATTGTCGGAAATAAAGTGATCTGAAACTGCAGTAGGTATAGAGGAAGGGGTGGGTCTGTCAACTGGTCGTCTTTGTTCGTTAAAGCGGTCTTTAAGTCGTCGTTTTGTCTCGCCTATGTATTGTTTGTTACAACGTCGGCAGTGTACCATGTAGATGAGATTTTTTGAGTTGCATTCAATGTAATGGGTGATAGGTCTGGTCTCCCCGGTAGTGGAAAATGTGTAGTTGGTACGCCCGTCAGTGATGAAGTTGCAAGTAACACAGTTGTTACCGCATCTGAAAGATCCCTTGGGAAGGTTGGTTTGTGTGACAGTACGTAATTTGGATCTAACTAATATGTTGTTAAGGTTGTCAGTGCGTCGAAAGGCAAAAAGAGGTGTAGATTTAAAGACATTAATGCAACGTTGGGAAGAAGTGAGAATGTTGAAATGTTTATGAATGATAGATGATATAGAGCGAAGGGCAGGGTTGTATGTGATAACAAAAGGACACGACTGGGTGTGCCAGATGTGGTAACACTAGGTTGGAGTGCCTCAGTACGTGTGATTGTGTGAACACGTTGTATCTCGTGTTTGAGAAAAGAGAGATTGTATCCACGGTTGTTGAGGTATTATATAAGCTCATTAGTACGTAATTTGAAGGTCTCGTCGGAAGAACAAATGCGTCGAAGTCTGAGGGCGAGGCTGAATGGAATGGCTCGTTTGGTATGTATGGGGTGACATGAAGAGTGTAAGAGGTACTGATGTTTATCCGTAGGCTTAGTATAGAGATCTGTTGTAATCCCACCATTGTTGAGAAGGACCTTGACGTCAAGAAATGGGATAGATGTGGACGAATGGGACGAGGTAAATTTGATAGTGGGATGAAGGCTGTTAAGCCAAGAGATGATGGCAAGTAGCTCGCCTTCAGTGTGAGTCCATATCATGAAAATGTCGTCGATGAAACGCCACCAAGTATGTGGCTGATGTGGTGCATGTTTGAGTGCGTCGGTCTCAAACTTAGCGAGGAATAGATTAGCGTATGAAGGAGCCATACGTGTACTCATAGCTGTGCCGTGTGTTTGGAGGTAGTGGTTGTTATTGAATTCGAAAATGTTCATGGTAAGAATGAGCCTGATAAGGCAACCAAGTTTGTACAGGTCGTTTTACCCAAATGTGGTGGGGTTTTTTCAGTTTTACTTTGTAGTTTTCACGAGATTTTCGCTTTCTGTGAAGATTTTCTTCAAACATCTTTACCACTTTTGTATCCTTGTATTTTTTTCGATTTTTTTAATTCAAATTTGGATATTTTATGCCATTTCTGAAAAATCCAAGATGGCGGATTCCAAATGGCGTCATTTTTGGTGTGTATGACGTCATAATTTACACGTGAATGTCACTAACATAAACATATTTGGATGCACAACAAATAAGTTTTATTTTCATAGCGTGAATACTTTTCGAGATACAAACGGGGGGGACTTTCTGCCCCCCCCCCCCCTTCACCACAGGCTGCCGGAATTAGTCGCTAAGTACCTAAGTTCTAACTTTACAGACATTTCTGATGCAACATAGGATGATTCTGGTTCCAATGTGTTCATGTTTGTAATTTGTATTTATGTTTTTATTGTCTTGTTATTCAGAGTCCAGTGGTGGATATGGTGTTACTTCCAATGCGTTCATATTTTCTCTCCACAATAAAGAAGGACTTGGTCCTTTTAAAAGTATGGTGACAAAGGCGGCAGCTGCAATTTACAGACATGCAGATTTTGGTCCAACATTTGGTGACGGGTGGGACTTACGCATTTATAACAATGCGAACAGTAACACTGATTCATACTCAAGCTTTGGTGAACAAGGCACCTACCCTGTTCCAAGTGGAGTACAGGACAGGAAAACAATCCTGGCTGGGACTTGGAACTTCTCACCTGATGAGTGGGAGGTATTCTATCTTGGTTGAATTGTCCTTACTCGTTGCCATCACAGATATGTTATACGTACTTATATTTCTAGCATAATTTTATCACTAACTTGATAAGACAGTATTTATTAGTGACTGGACTAGATTCTTAGCCTGTTTGCAGACTAATAATACACTTGAAAAAATTACTCCATTCTGATTGGCTAAGAGCAGTGCAGTTCATCGACAAGTGTAACACCAGTGCAATTACACCAGTGCAAATTACAAACGAAGATTTGCGAAGTCAATACGAAGAACCACAAAGACCCATAACGGCTGAAGATTTCCCGAAGATTGTCCGAAGTCTTCCGAAGTTGACCGAAGATTTCCGAAGACTTCCGAATATTGCCGAAGATTTCCGAAGATCACCCGAAGACTTACGAAGATTTTCCAACTCTATCGGGAGGTTTGCGAATACTTCGGAAATTTTTCGAAGGGCAAGGGCTCCTCTGTCTAAGTACCGTAATCGTATTTAGTAAAAAAAGAGTAATCGAATTTTTTTAAGTGTATTATTAACAAGTAATCACATGATTTTCTCGTGCAATTTGGAATAAATAAGCACTTGTAAATCCTATTTCCGACACAAGAATGGAATAGGAGACGTCAGTAAGCAGTCTATGGAATTGTTTGTTTGGAAGCGAAGTTTTAATTAAACTTAAACAATTAATCCACGTAATCAAAGAATGCAAAGTATTATATCTTGACTGCGTGTTTTAATATTTCAGGTCAAACGGCTGCAATTTATTTTTAATGTTATTGACAACTCACAACACTAATTACACAAAACTATTAAATTATAAACTATAGACTACTTACAATACTCTTACATGCAATACTCTTACGATACTTAAATTATTTTTACTTACATTACTTGTACCTACAATACACTAACTTAATAATAGTACACCGTGGAGAATTCAAAATAAATATTAATTTAAAACTTACACTAGTAGTACTTACAATAGCAAACACTTAAAAGCTAAGCAAGAGCCAAAAAACAAATAAGAGGGGGCGAGGAGAAAAGGTAGACGTTGTAACTTTTCATGACAACAAGCTTGTTATACACTAGCTTGTTTGATTTTGAAGAGTTTGCTAATTTCGTTGAGAAGCTTTCAATTACATACTTTCCAGAGAGATTTTAGTGCAGATAATATTTCACAGTATTCTAAAGGACGAAGTTTAAGGTTGTATTTATTCTGAAGTACAGGCCAAGTGAGGAAATTGTTATCGTCATATTTTAAGTGCTTTACCTTTTTGATACCTTTCTTATACCATTCTTTATAGAAGATCGGGCGGTCATTAATTCTAATAAGTGAGTTGTGCCATAAACTTAGCTCTAGAAACTGACTCTTTGAGGTTATACATTCTTCAAAATTAACTTCTGACCACTCTGAGAGAATTTCCTTTATAAAACTGTCTGATACCTTGATAATTTTCGCTGTGTCTTTCTTACTAAGATTGCTCTTGAAGGTCAAAATGCCGCCAAAAGTATCTAGTTTTAGATTAAAAAAGTTTCCCTTGTCCAAATATTTATTTATCCATGTCATCTTTAGCAATTTAGTAAATGACTGAATGTCGATCATTTTCAGGCACCCTTCCGATAGGTCGTTTATCATTATATCTCGCTTGATCTTATCACCTTTCCGCTCCATATAAACTTATATAAAATATTTTGTTAACCTCTTTTATAACATTCACACAAGTGCGCAAACGCGACGACACATAAACAAACTAAAGTTGAGAGGCAGCTAGACTTTTTAGCACTGTAATTTTTTCTAGTAAGGCTTAGTCTGCAATGTTTCCAGCAACTTAAAACATTTAGAACTTTTTTCTAGTTTTTCCGTATAATTTAAGGCTACAGTTAATTCAGGATATATTGAAAACCACACACCAAGAGAGAAAAGTTGGCGATCTTCGAAGTTATACACATTTTATGAGTATGAAAAACGTATCTAAGTAGCCTACTAGCCTCGCTTTCATGTTCTTTTTTATTGTCCGAAACGCTTCCCAAAACAAGAATATTTAGAGTTGAACTTAATATTCATTATTTTATATTTAAATGACTACTTTACAAACTTTATAACTTTTCCTAAACATTATCTGGGAACATTTTGGTGTGCCAAGTTTTTAATCACGTGACTTGATGTTTCCATGGCAACAAAGTTTTCACAGGACGTTTTACCCAAATTTGGTATGTTCAGCTTAATTTTCAGTTTCCGTGAGA